CTTGGACCTCTCTCCTAACAAAATTACAATTTAGATTTATGAACCGTGGTAACACTAGGGATACCAATTTTTCTACCAACCAAATGACCAAATGTCTCATATGGGTGGGGGGTTCGCAATTTTGTAAACCTCATATCTATATGAGATATTTGGATATTTATTTGGTAGAAAATTTGAGACCTATAACATTTTCCTATGAATTGAGTACCCAATTAAAAAACCATCTCAAATTTTTTCATCAAATATTAATCAAATTAAAACAATCTTTTTTTTTTCAAGAATTCATCAAAATATTTATTAAATTTAAATTTGATGAATTTAAAAAGATAATCATTACAATATCTCTAATCATTCACCATTTCTTTTATCAAATTTATTTTTGATTAAAAAATATTAAAAGTCATCTTTAATCATTCATCTTTTTTAATCAAATTAGAATTAGATGAAAATTAAAAACATAAAACATCGAAGATGGTTTTTGTTTGTTTATGAAATTAGGTGAAAAGATAAATTTGGGATAAGAAGGAACTTTTAAAATGATTTTGATAAAAATTTAATTAAAGAATTGAAGTAGTTCATATCAAAATTAATTTTTTTTATTTAAATTTAATCAAAATATATGAAAATATTGATGATGGATCGGTCTCGTTTGGAAACATCACTTTTTAATTTAAAAGTCAAAAAGTCATTAAAAAGGCCAAAAATCCAACAAACTATACAAAATAAATAAATAAAGATTCTCCCTTTTCTCTATTTTTTTTCATCTGTTTGTAAGAAATTAAAAAGTCATCTCAAATATATTAATTTTTTTTATTTCATATTTTAGCTAAAAATTAAAAAATTACAAAAATAATAATATGTTCCCAAATGACTTGGACATTACAATAGAATAGAAAGGAGCCAAAAAAGAAAAGGAAGGAGAGAGAAGATCGAGATTTTTAAGTACTTATATTTTTTCAATTTATTATTTATTTTTAATTTTATACATTGAAGTACGTACTCTTTATTTTTTAAATTAAAAAACATTTAACACAAAATTAAGTTTTATTTATGAATGATTTTTTAATGTGCAAGGCATATGATATGTCATTTACTTATATATTTTTGTGACTTAAGTTACACACTTTTGCGAGAATTTATGACACATTTTTATGAATTAACTTACGTGAATTTGTGTTTAGTTACGGGATTTGTAAGGTGACTTATGTGAGAACTTACATCAAGTTGTGATTTCTCAAATTTTTATGGATTAATATACGTAAATTTATGTTTAACTTACGTGATTTTGTAAGATGATTTACTTATATTTGTAAAAACTTACGCTAAATTGTAATTTCGTAAATTTTTATAAATTAATTTACACGAATTTATATTTAATTACGCGATTTTAAAAAATAACCTACATATTTTTATGAAAATTTACATAAATTTACATACCCCACTCCCCTTTATTTTTACCACTTATTATTAGTTAATACACATTTTAACAAGTAGTTCAAGTCAAGAAAAAAACAAACAAACAACTTAAGAGTAGCATCAACGGAGACTCATTAAAAGTCCACTAATACCAATAGAGGAATGGTTTAGTGGTAAGAGTTTCGAATCTTTCGCTCAAAATTTGGATTTAAATCTCCATAATCCCTTATTAGGGTTAAACATACTCTGTCACGCCCCTAAACCGCCCCTAGTAGTTTGGTGCCATGATGGCCAGTAATCCGAGATTACCGAAGGCCAACTTACAAAATTCACATACAATCAGAGTATAAATATATGGGGCTAAATGTGCGGAAGTAATAATTTACAATACAAGTGGTCCATAAGAGCAGTGCATAAGTCAAATGGAATGACATACATCTTTACATAGCTTTAAAGCTTTAATACAAATAAAATGAAGTACAAAAATACATCTTAACAAAAGGGCTTCACAAGCCGACATAAACAAAATACATGAAATACAAGTAAAAGCATAATCTTCAGGATTGCCGACATCCTCACTGCCGACATAACATACATGCAAAACACACATCTCGGCGTAGCCGACTTCTTGCTTGTTACCTACATATATACATAGGGAGGGTGAGCTTGGATACTCAGTGAATGGTACAAGTAATAAAGGGGTTAAATGAATGATACCCGAGGTCTTTGCAAAACATACATATCATATCTTGTACAAAACGTGGGATGAATCTAGTTCATCAACTTGATCTTACAAAACTTATTTACTTACTTACTTTGGATGTTAATAGCATCTACATAATACAAGGGATGACATTCCAGACTTACAAGACCCACGTGGTAAACCGTCAGTGGCAAAACAAGACAAAACAAGGGAGATATCTTAAACAAGATGTGCAGTTGCATTATAGTCCCTTGGCACTAAGGACTTGTGCCACAAGTGCTTATAGTCCCCTGGCACGTACGGACTTTCAAAACAAGATGTGCACTTGCATTATAGTCTCCTGGCACTAAGGACTTGTGCCACAAGTGCTTATAGTCCCCTGGCACGTACGGACTTTCAAAACAAGATGTGCAGTTGCATTATAGTCCCCTAGCACTAAGGACTTTCCGAGAATGTCATCAAAACAAAACTTACTTGATACATAAAAATAGGGGTAATCATTCATGCTTAATCAAATACTTTTATCAAAACAAGGCAAAACTTTATCAAAACTTTATAACATAGCTTTATTAAAAATACCACTCACTTAGTTCTTGGGACGTCGGGGTCAAGGCAAAGGTCCAAGTCCTACAAACACATGGCAAAGCATACTGAACGTACTTCTCAAAACAAGTCTTACATACATGCAAATGATCTCGGAAAAACATGCTGGAAGTCAAAACACTGTTTTACATGTCAGGAAGACATGCTGGGTACCAACCAGGTCTTTGCCGAGGTCCCACACCTCCTGGCCGAGGTGTGGTTACTTAGGCTTCGGCATGCGGCTGCATGTCGAGGTGCGCACAAGACAAACTAAAGGTATAAGTGATCATGCAAGGTAGGCCAAGGTGAGATACGATGCTTGGCCTAAGTGTGAGGTCTAGGTAAGAGTGATCTCGGCGACTACACTTCGGGAAGTGAGGTCTGGAGATTTGGGTTTCCACCTGTGGAGAACATGAATGCTAAAATCATAACTTCTTTATTACAAAAATCTGGGATTTCATGCTATGAGTTCGAAAACATGGACCCGGGTACCCATACTTGAAGATCATATGAAAACAAACACAAAAACATGGATCTAGGCATGAGCTTTCGGATCAAAACATGACTTTTCTTGAAGAACACATGAATGCTATTTTCTCTTTCTAAAACCGAACTTCAAAGCAATGCATGGCTTACAAATCATATTCAATCATGCAATGCAATAACATGAACATAAAGAGCAACATCAGTAGATCAAGAATCTAACCTTAGAACACGGATCTAACGGTTCGATCTCTAGGGATCAAGCTTGAAAATCTACTCTCCCTCAAGAACTTCTCTCCCTCTTCTAGAGCTTCTCTCTCCCCTTCAAAACAAGGATATAGAAATGATAGGTTTTCTCCCTCTGCCGGCTGACTTAACACTCAGCTCGGACACGTGGCAACGGCTGGTTGGTTCTCCTCAAAAAGGTGATAGATTGACAAGACAAGACTATGGCAAAGTGTATCTAACAAGCTACCCGGTAAGGCACTCCGGCAAGTGATGACATCGGCTAAGGACAAAGCTTCGGCAACTAAGGTGACAATGACCTCGGCTAGGAAGGACAACACTTGACTAAGCTGTGCCACACCTTGGCCTAGATGTGCCACACCTCGGTCTAGGTCACACCACTCCAGGACAAGATCACATAGGTGCAATGGTAACATCTCGGCCTAGATAATACACATCTCAGCCTTGGTGATGAACACCTCGTCCTAGATAATGACATCTCGGCCAATATGTCAAGGCGAAGGTGGAGGTCAAACAAGGTGGTTCCAAGACAATTCTAGATTGAAGATGACCTCGGCTTGGAATGATCTAGGCGTAACATGACCTAGGCTTGACATGACCTAGGCTCAACATAACTTAGGCTTAACATAGTAGGGAAGGGGCAAAGCATGCAAGCAACACTTAGACATATCACATAAACACAAAGCAAGACAAGATTCATGAATGCAAACTTAACATGGCAAAACATATAAACGCATGCAAGCATGACTAGGACATGAATGTGGGTTGTTACATACTCTTTAATAGATGGAGCACGTGGGGGCCCAAGCTTAGGCCCTGATATAAGTGCGATGAGATTCCCTACAGATATGTTATAAATGCTAAGAAACAACATTCCATAACGGATATATAAAGTAATCTATCTACATATCCATTTCTTAGATAAAAATGAAATAAAAAAATTAGGAGTCCATTAATATACGATGAAATAAGAGTTAGCAACGTAACTTTATTTTCTTTTTATTGGGCTCTCTAATGAATATATTAACACCCTTCTTAATTGTAGAAACGAGAGAGAGAGAGAACACTCATGTTCCCCAATGAGTTTTATCAAAGAATATTATTAAATTTCAAATTCCAAAATTTGTGAAAATCAACAAAGAAAAATCTTCGAGCGGCTATCTAAAATTTGAAAGTTTAGCTAAAGTTAATTTTTGACTTGTAATTTATTTTGAGTCACATTATTTCTTTACTTTTTTACTCGTTCTTTTAAAAAAAAAATTAAAAACTCAAATTTTAACCATCTTTTCAAAACAATCCATAATTGTTACTGATTTATTATTATTATTATTTGCGTAGAGTCTTTTTGGGCTCTATCAATAGCATTATCTCATATGTTAGAATTCAATAATAAAAAGAGAAACCACGAACATAAAAATTCATCTTTGGCACCCTTGAGACATTTTTGAATTCAACATTTCCTGTAGAAGAAAATCGAAAGGCTTATAAACATTACAAAACAAGTCATGCATTCTTTAGTTGCAATTAAACAAGTAATCCAACCTATATGGATTCAGCTGCACACAATTACTTCTTGTACGTTTCTTCCCATAGTTCGAGTTCTAGACCAGATCGGATGAAATGGTGTTCAATTTTAATGTGGCGAGTTTTGAATTGCTCCAAGAAGATACCCAATTCTCTAGTTTTGTCCACTATCAAATGCTTAATCTGTGAGCAGCACTTTAAAATGTCCCCAATCCCCTCTTTTGTCAATCTGTTAAGCCCTGTAACATTGAGTGTCTGTAAGTTGGGACAAACAAACCCTATTTTTCTCAAAAATTCATCATTCAGATGCCCAACATGACTCAATTCCAAAGATATTATTTGATAATTGCTCTCTAATTCCATGTCAAAATCATCTCCAACTGGTAGCTTTATCTCCTGTAGTTCAATTTCCGAAAGAAGAGGGCATTCTTTTGCAAGGATGAAGAAGGTTGTGGCAGTTATGTCTAAACAAAAATCAAGCTTTATGGACACAAGATTAGTTTGATACCGGCATAATTCCCTCACGGAATTGTCATTGAGGAAATTTATGGAAACAAGTTGCAAGTGTTTCAAAGATGGACAAGCACTCAAGAAATTCGAGAGTCCATGAAAGCTTAAACCAGAATCATCGTAGATTAAAATCTTCTCTAATGAAATGCCCGCTGTTGAAATGGAACCAAGAAGACGGTCGTGATCTTCGTATGCATCTATGCGAAGATCGCGTAAAGATTGTGCAAAATTCATGGAATTCTCAAAAGTAAACAAATCATCCGGTAAAGAGTAATAGCGTCCTGCTTCGAGAGAAATCAAGTTTTGACTATGGCGTAGAACAAAACAAATGCCATGTTCAGATACATGGTGTTAGAAATGGGTGCCGATGTGGCATGACCCTTTGAATCTTTTGAATCTTATCCAAATGGGTTTTGAATTCAAATTCAAACCTATTTGGATAACCACTCAGGATATATATATATCTATCATATAATTGATATGGATAGATGATATATCTTATATTATCTCATATAACTGATATGGATATATGAGATAAACATATTATATATCTGATAATATGGGATATGGGTGATTAAGAGAAAAACAACGTATGTTTGAGTTTTTTCCCATATACTGACTCTCTCCCAAAAACCAACGATCAAAAAGCCATTTGCACTGTGATTTGTATGGGTGATATTCATTATTATAGTATCACTCCATTGCTGGGTTGACTGATCAAATTCAGGAAGCACGTGATTTACCCACGAGATCCTTCAATTCAGACTCTGTTCTAAAGGTATGACCATAATTTTTCATCCGCTGGATTATACTTTGTTTTACATTGGTATCAGAGCATGAATGGGTATTTTCGTGTTTTCTCTAATCATGTGTATATTATATATATATATATATATGTACACATTATATACATGAATATTAATAAATGAGGAAGATGTCTTCATTTTTATGTTCATTAATGTCTTTTTTAATACCATAAATGGTTTTATTTTGAAAAGTGGAGTCTGGCAGTACAAAAATCAAACCAGAAAACACCCTCGAAGGCAGAGCATGGGCCTCACGCACCACCTGACGCCCTGGGAGGCTTCCACGTGCCTCCACACGCTGCCACGCCCTTGCACGCGCCTCCACGAGCCATCACGTGCGCATCAGGACGCCCTCCGTGCCACACATGCGTGCCGCGTGCTGAGCCACACGCCGAGCCGCGTTCCTAGCCGCACCGAGCCTCATGCGCTGAGCCACGCCGTTTTCCACCGCCGGCTTGGCTGCTGATGCATAAGGCTCTGTTTGTTCTGTTTTAAATTCTGAATCGCGTTAAATGGTCATAATTAATTCGTTATAGCTTTGTTTTAAGCGTGTTTGGTACCGTTAGACTCAGAATTAAATTTTTTTATCTTCTGTAAAATTTTGAAAATTTTATGAAAATAAAAAGTATTTTTCCTATGATTATAATTCATTATTTATGCTTTAAAATGCTTCTGGTATTGCATAAATTATTTTCTGGGGTTGAATTTTTTATTGTAGACTTCTGAAATGTTTTACTATTTACTGGAATAATTTTTTTTTCAGTTTATGAGATTCTGGAATTTGTTTTTATTTCTAATTTAATGTGTGTTTATTAGTTATTTAGAATTCTAGAAAATTTCAAAAAAATTCTAGAAAATTTCAGAATGATGTACTTTTTATTATGGTATAATCTGAATATTAAATACAGCATATTTTTTAGGGTTTATAATATGTTGCAATTAAAGAAGCATGATTAATTGTTATTTGTTTAAATTCCATTATTAATTGTGACATAGCATGAGTTGGCTGTGAATCTACATTATGATGCTATTGTATGGAATTAGAAATTTTTGTCATGTTTTTTAGACATGCCATAATCAGTGGGAGGTTGTTCGGTTGAGAGAAATCTTTGTAGATTTACTCCCGAAAACTAATATTTTGCACATGAATTAAATTAAATTTTGGATAATTGTCACCTGTGGCGCAAGAGATGATTACGAGCATAGCGGATTTTCGATCTTGCGACTTGTGTAATATTGTCACTATTTAATTTAGATTTTTGTGGCAAAATTATATTATGCTAATCAAATTAATCCCAATGCGAATTTCTCTCTAAATTGACTTAGCTTATGGAAGTTAATTGGTTGACCTAGACTTAGTAAAGATGTTCAAATGTGAACAATGTAATCCCATTCTTTAGATGAGCAAAAGTTTTGGAGACTTTAGGTCAAGGCTTAATTGAGCCAAAGTAAGGAAACATGACTCAAAGTTGCCGTGGTTTTGTTGCCTTGTTTGGCATAATAAAAACTAATGTGTACGCTATAGTTAGCGGCACGCTACGTAGTTTTGGTTGGCGAGTTTTGGAGTTATGAAATTAGTAAGCCCTCAATAGATCTGTATATGATCTTGACTATTGAGCTGCGTGGATTGACTTTGTAATTTGACTTGTAAATAATGTTACATCATTGGATGAAGTAACATTCAAGAGTCACGTCATCCAAGAAATGTGAGCTTAAATAAATTAGTCATTAAGTGTAGGACGAGTAGCCAGTATGAGCAGTGTTTTGCTCTTTAGCCAATTATTGAGAGTGGATGGAGCAAAATTTCATGCACTATAATAGTGTCCGTTGAAATATCATGTGAAGTGAAAAGATTAGCGCTTAGAAGCGACAAAATCTATTAACACTATGTGAAAAGATTAACGCTTAGAAGCTGCAAAATCTATTAACACTATGTGAAAAGATTAGCGCTTAGAAGCTGCAAAATCTATTAACACTAAGTGAAAATATTAGCGCTTAGTGGTTGCAAAATCTATTAGCATTGCCAACTTGTCTAAGTCTGGACACTTACTGTTTCCATACTTGAGTGTGAGACATGAGGAGGGGCTTCTTTGTATGATTCCTTAGCTATGCTAACATTTTTGAATAACGTTTACCACTAAGCACAAACGTTACAACATAATAATGAAAAGGTCAAGGCCGACAAGGTTGTTATGACTCTAAGAATTTGACGCATGGCTCGTGAGAGCATTGTGTTGAATTAAACTCTTTAGCCTAATTCGCGTTTAAGTTACTTCAGGAGCTATCATAGTTGATAGCTTATTCTCTCCTTCTTGTGGATAGTAGAATTAATTGCAAGTAACTATGAAGCGAGAAATAGATATGGCAAGAGGAGTATCGTTATCTTTCAACTCGATGCATTAAAGTGTATGGAGAATAAAATTGACTTGAAGGTGCATGGGATTAGCACTTACTAGTTAAATTTGCAACTTAAGCGCACTTAATATCTCCATGACATCCTTTTATGATCTAGTGAATATGAATTAGTCGCGAGTCATTACCTAGTTAGGCCTAAACCTTTAAAACTTGTCTTAAAAAACTCACACATTAGGATGATTGGAATTAGTTTATGACATTGGTCATGAACTGGTGGCTTATTATACTTAATCACATTAATGAGAAGATGTATGGATGTTTGGAGTAGGCCCTCTTGGGCCCACTCGGTTGTGACATTCTGCTCTCATGTGAATGTGTAACTTTGGCACAAGTAAGTAGGAAAGCCGTAGAAGGTCATTTGTATTGGCGCATTTAGTCCACTATGATATTTGTGACTACATATGTGTAAGGGTATGATAGCTAAGCCTCCATCTCGACACATTTATAGATTAAGATACACATCTGAGTCAAGACTATTTGATCTCCCATAAGTCAAAAGTTTTGAGATGATTTTTGACATTGCACATATGACGTTGAGATCAATTAGATAACAGTTTTTGTGTTTTTAGTTTTGACCAAGGTGGCGAGTATCTATTTGAGTTATTTTAGAAAACTCAGTGAAGAGAAATGGATGCTTAGAAAATTGATTATTCCTAATACTCAACAACACAATGGTGTAGTAGAGATAAGGAATTAAGTATTGTTAATGTTAGATGGATGATGGCGCAAAATGTTTCCCAATTGGGAATTGCACTTTAGTTTGTTGCCTATATCCCTAACTAAATGCCCTTCATATCAGTTTTTACACTCCAGTTTGAGTAATGGGTTAGCAGAGAGCCATCTATGGGCGATCTGTAACCGTTAAGCAGCTTATCTTTATTTTACTTCTTATAAGGTTGCGAAGTTAAGACCTAGGGTTCAATAGCGCATTATTGTATGCTGTCTTGTAAACACATAGGGTTGTATGGCGCATTATTATATGCGGTCATGTAAACCCTTTGGGTCATGTGCATATAGGTAAGCAGCTTTGTGGTAGTGTAACTAAGTCACATAAAGTTTTCTTAGTAAAGGTGACGTGAATAGAGTTTTGGAACTCTATAAGATAGAGAATTCTAAGCATAGCGCTTTTATGTAGCCTAGTTGAGAATGGAAAGAAATTTCCAATATCCTAGGGACAGTGGGAGCGATGTGCCTACTAATGGATTATTTCATTAGAGAAGAATACTCTACATTCTTAGTTGCGTGGTAGCGAATGTGAAATTTTTTCACGTCATCACTGGGTGATTGAGAGGGAAACATTCATGATTGTTTCGCAAGATGATAAAGAGCCTAGGATAGTGCCAAAGGCTCTAGTCCCCTATTTTTAGAAAGTGGATTAATGTTGCACAGTTTAAGACAAAGTCTTTGAGGATTATTGTTTCGCAAGATGATAAAGAGCCTAGGATAATGCCAAAGGCTCTAGTCCCCTGTTTTTAGAAAGTGGATTAATGTTGCACAGTTTAAGACAAAGTCTTTGAGATTAACCATTTCTATAATTTGGTTAACTTTCCATTATGGCGCGAAACTGTTCTAAAGTTATGCGTAATTTGTATAGTCATTGTTGAGGCATAAGGCTTGCTAGATACCGAAAAGTCACACCATTGAGGAAAGTGTAGACCATGAGAAGACTTCCTCCTGGGGAGTGAGGTTATTTCGACTTAGGCTATGATTGACATAAGTTCAGAACATTGATTTGTGGACATTGTGACCCAACTTTCTCGTTAGAGAATTGGATAAGTAGATCCATAGAGATTTACCTTCTGCTTTTATGGTGAAAAGTTAGGAGCGCAAAAAGGTTGCTAGTTCCAATAAATCTTTTACAGCCTAAAACAGTTATCCAAATAGTGGTTCTTAGATTTCGTCAAGCCATGATAGGCCAACGATGATCGATGAAGACCACTGAGGCATGATCAATGGTCCAAAAGAAGTTTTTCAATACTTAGTCATTATAAGCCAAGAATTTATAAGGTTGTCACCACCTAGGGTGGGCAGTTCGCTGTTTTAGATATGATGGACATGGGTGATGTAATTTATATGCTCAGATGTATGATCTTTAGGGATTGCTTTGGGAGAATTCATGTTTTGTCTTCGATGACTTACATAAAGAATATCCTAGAACGATTCTAGATGCAAAATTGCAAATCCATTGACTTACCTATCGGTAAAAGCCAGAGCCTTAGCTATTGAGTGAATCCTAGGATTGTCTTTGGGAGAAATAGATGACTTATATTCCTTGATCTTTTCTTTGTTGTGGGAGCCCAAAGTACGCTATGTGGGCGTATTCGGCATGATAAGTGTTATCTTTGGTAAATAGTCAATTGAGTTGTTTAGACATTGACCATGCTCATTAGATTGTGGATAAAATGCTTTACTAGTAGTATATTAATTTGCTCCTTGTAAGATTCAATGCGCTAGTTGGGCGCATCAAGAATGAACGCAAATTGGTCACCAAAATATCTTTAGAGAGGTTATTGCACAAGAAGTAGTGATCTTGAATCACTTCATGTGAGGCGCACATGGTGGATTCCGTTGCATATGCTTATCGCAAGAGGTGCTGATAAGGTCTATGTTTGGAATCTAGAATTGCGCAAGCTGTGGTCAATTTTTTTAAAATCGATCACTTATTTTGAGATGATGGGATGTTGACACTATTATGGTTTGTGTCATAATGATTAGCAAATGATGATGTCAGCAGGCAAGATTGGCTCACTCACATGAGCAATCGCCCTTGGCGCTTGGGAGCGAGCAAGGTTGAGACTAGTGGTTTATTTTTATTTGGAGCCAAGAGAGGCTTAAATCATCCACTATGTATGTCGCCTTGGTTATAACCAAGATGAGGTCGTGTTAAGGACCAAATGCGGATGTTAGTACCCACTTTTCATGTTGTTCCTGTTATGATTAGCCAGATTCGAGATCTCATTTGGCGCCTAGAAGGCGAGCAAATAGAGAATTCGGGTTAGGCGCTAGAAAGCGACTAGACTAATATCTATACGGTGTATCGAGTATGACGTCACTCTTTATGGAAGAGTTACTCCATCGTAGCATGTATTCATACTATATGTGCTTGGCGATCGAGTAATGAGGTGAGAGAATGGATCCCTGTTTCCTCACCGTGTGAGTCTTATGTGTCATTATTGATATGACTTTCATTTATGTACCCTTTTGTGACTTTTGGCTATGTCATAAGGTAAGGGGTTGATGTTCTGCTACTTTGGTATGTTGCCTGTGGTCATTTATGATTTGGCCTTAAGGGACATCACTGGGAAAGCGGTCAATCCTAAACTAAATGGCATGAGTGCAAAGGGAAGATCATCTAGTATTACACCACTGTTGTATATTCACTGCCGGCAACTCATATCGCTTTGTATGAGAGGCGAATTGAGTGTGAATATATTGCAAGAATTGAGAGGGTCAAACATGCTCTTTTTTGAGGGATTAGAGATGTTTTTTGGACCGGTGTAATTAGATGGGTCTGGGGTATATGAGACACTATTTCTGTTCTTTTTGGGTTGATGTCTCTATGCTGGCTCATTTTGAGTTTCTAGTATAGAGCTCCCACATGCAGGTGTTCTCAGCGGTCGCACGGTGGATTGGCTAGTATGAGATTGTTCATTTTTGGGGAGATTGAGATAGAGATGTGGCAGTGTCATGCCAACTCATGTGCGAGTGGGAGATGTTAGAAATGGGCGCCCATGTGGCATGACCCTTTGAATCTTTTGAACCTTATCCAAATGGGTTTTGAATTCAAATTCAAACCTATTTGGATAACCACTCAGGATATATATATCTATCATATAATTGATATGGATAGATGATATATCTTATATTATCTTATATAACTGATATGGATAAATGAGATAAACATATTATATATCTGATAATATGGGATATGGGTGATTAAGAGAAAAACGTATGTTTGAGTTTTTTCCCATATACTGACTCTCTCCCAAAAACCAACGATCAAAAAGCCATATGCACTGTGATTTGTGTGGGTGATATTCACTATTGTAATATCACTCCATTGCTGGGTTGACTGATCAAATTCAAGAAGCACGTGATTTACCCACAAGATCCTTCAATTCAGACTCTGTTCTAAAGGTATGACCATAATTTTTCATCCGCTGCGTTATACTTTGTTTTACACATGGCAATAAGAACCTCGAATTACATTCAAAAGCTCACAATTTGATAACAAAGCAATGAGAGATCGATCAGAACAACCAAGCTGCCCTGTTATATCAATTTTACGCAACCTTGGAAGCTTACGTGAGATTACCTCGATCCCAACATTGGTTACAATGTACTTAGCGCTCTTAGAATTGAAACCTCGTTGATAATAAGAAGGAATGCTGGAATGCTGAATACTGAGCTTTTCAAGCCACGGTAAAGCATCAGCTATAGCAACAAGGTGGTGATTTCGAAAAACTTTGAGGTAACAACATCTTAAAATCTTCAAGTTGTTCATGGTCAAACCCAGTTTCTTAAAAGTTTTGGCGAATAGGGGTTTTTGTAATCGTCGGAGAGAGAGAGAGAGATTGAAGATCCAACCCGGAAGAAGCGATTCTTCGAATGGGGTAATTGACATCGGCTTTGTCACCGAAGATGGGATCATAAAGCTCAATCTCACTGAGGTTTGTGAATCGTTTAAGGGCTCTGAATAATCCCTCGCAGTTATTGCTATAGAAGGATCTGTTGGAGGCCTCTAATTTTTGTCGAAGTCGATCGGTGATTGAGAGGAATTGCTTATAGATTGCAAGGCGTTGAAGTCATTGATTGCTAATCGATTCAGAATCAATTCCCAGTAGTCTTCGGAGAGTTCCTTACATACCAATTTCATGATTTCGTTTCAAGAAACAAAGAGAAACGAAAAAAAGATGATTCGACTAGAGAGGTGAACATGAGAGAGGAGAAATGAACCCTGGCTTGAAAGAAAGTTCTACATCAGTATCTTTCTTGGGAAGGTGTGTATATATATATCCCTCCCACCACCCAAAAAAAAACCTCAAACAAGAGATGGATTTAGTTTTCAAATTTTTGAAAAAATAAAAATAAAAATTAATTTAATAAATGAAATAAAAAATTAAAATAATTATCATTTTTATATAATTTTATTTTTTGAGAGTTCAAAAATAATTTTAAAAATTTAAAAAATATTTTTTTAATATTTATTTTAATCAAATTAGTTTCTATTTTTTTTAAATTGAATTTTTTTCTCTCTCAAAAACATACCAAACAAGGTCGGAGTATTTTTTAAAATTAATTTTTTTACAAAATGATATATAAAAAAGATAGAACAAATAATATCAAAAAGTAAAAAGATATGTAAAACAAAAACTATAAACTCATGAAAGTATAAGAAAAATAATTGCCCCTCTATTCTCTCACCTTAACTATAATAGATAACAAAATCTTCAAAATTTACTCCAACAAGATCCCTGTCTGATTCTTAATTATAGGGTATTTGATTTTAACTCTATACATGTAGGAAACATGAAAAATTCCTTTCGTTTGGCATTGGCTAATATAGTTAATTTTTTTGTGTTGTAACTTTATTAAGTTGGCTCTTTTAGCCTCGTTTGGTTTGAATTTTTTAGCTTTTTTGATTTTTGTAAGAGAAAAAATATAATGATTATGAATTGAATGTTATATTTTACACTTGTTTGCGAAGAAGGGTTGGGTTGGGTTTGAGACTATTTTAGTCACAAAAAGACAAAATAGATTTTAGCCCAGTAAGACAAAATATTACATTCAATTCATAATTATTTTATTTTTTTCTCACAAAAGTCAAAAAAACCAAAAAGTCTATCCCAAACGAGACTTTTTAGCCCTAGGCTAAAATAACCAAGAAGCCAAAAAGCTAACCACTTCCCAAACGAACTCTTTGTCTTATTAGCTTAGTTAGCCTATTTTGTCATTTTGTACTTTTTTAACCCTGAAATGATAGCCAAACCAAGGCTTTGTCTCTTACAAAACCCATGTTGAAGTACTCAATTGAAAAAGAAAAAAAAAAATTGCTCTATTGTGTATAATGAAGTTTTCTCCCCTATTGTGGAGAAAAATTTACAAAACATTGTTGGATATGCTCTTAGACCAATGAAATTATTGGATGGGTATGGCCCAGGAAGGCTCAATCCAAAGCCACCATGCCGTCTTCTTCGTCGCTGAGAGAGAGAGAGAGAGATGTGCGCGAAATTGCTATTACACTTTGCACTCAGATTAAAAAATAAGGGTTTCATGAAGGGGCACGTGTAGCTACAGCATTCGGAGGCGCTTTTAAACGCCTTCAATTAGAAACGGTGCCGTTTTGGTTTTAAAAAATATGCGACGGTTACGAAACGCCGTTAAAAATTAACAAACGTGACGTTTAATAAAACGCCGTTAATTAAACGCCGTTAATTGTCTTATTTCCTGTAGTGTCATTACCTAATGTGCAGAATCTACAAATCGGACCTTCAATAATAAGAGAAACCATGCACATAGTGATCTTTGGCACCATTACCATTTTTTTCAGCATTATAACAGCTATAGTTTCTGTATTTCATATAGAAGAAAATCAAAAGCCTATGGCCATTGCCAAAACAAGTAAAATACATTCCATAGTTGCATAGTACAATTAACCAAAGCACTACGTACAAACCATCTCAAAGAACCTCATTAGTTCAAACATTTTTCACATTCATGTTCTCAAAACAAATAACTATAGCTTTATCCAAAACCAATATCCACAAAAAAACCATATCCAAACAAGATGTTAAAGTCAAGCAAATTATCAAATCTCTCCCCTGTACATCTCTCTCAGAAGAATAATCTTCACAAACAAGACATCCATGGTACCTGCCAGAAAAGTTTCCTCTAGCTTTCAGTAATCAAAGACAAACATGGCGAAGCTATTTTCCTCAGTTATGTCCGTGAAAACACAAATACCGTACTCTCATGAACACCCCAGCTCAAATTTATCTCCCTCAATCTTTTCCAATTTATGTACATTTCTTTCATCCTTGTTGTCATCACTACCAAGCAACCCTCCAAATCCAAATTTAGGAGCCCACAACATCTGCTCTCCATTATTACCAACATTTCTTTTCTGTTAGTACCCAAACAAAAGCACACATCAAGAAGCCCTAAACTGGGCCATATTGAATCAAGTTTTCTAAGGTATTCATCACTCAGATTTGAATTACATCGTGGATCCTCCACAATATCAGAAGTTTATCCCCTTCCTCAAAATTTGTTCTCTCCATATGAATATCCTTTAGAGAATGACAGTTTTTGGCAAGCGTGAAGAAGGTTAAATCAGCTAGCATAGAGCAGAACTTGAGGTTTATTATGATTAGGGAGATATTTAGATAATTGACTCATGAACTTATCGGTGATTAGAGTATTGAGATGATAGTATAAAAGGTGGGCATCATCTTTCCATTTTCTTTCAAAATGACCAGCTTCCCAGTTACTCTATTGACTTGGTTTAGACATCCGATTCCATATCACATCAGGCAAGCAAAACTAAAAAAGATGCAATACAAGTAATTAGGATTTGAGACTAATCATGATGAATAAGGTTTCAAATGCAAGTAATGGAGCAAAATGCTATACAATTAAACGACATCAGCAAACAATTGCACCGACTTTGATATTGATCAAAACTCAAATGGATGCAAACATTATAACATGTGAAGCTCAGGAAAGAAACCAACTTACAGCTGGTAACCACAAGCTCTATCCATTACTAAAAATTCCAATTAAAATAACACTTTTGCCTTAAAGTTGACTTATCTGAGAAGTTTCAATGAATTGAAAAGTTTCAATTGAACAGTTGAAAGTTAAAAACTTGACGAGTTCAAAATACAAGCCTTCCTGTCAAATTCCAATGCAAAAATTAGAGCAAAATGCAGAGAGAATATGGATTCAGAGGTTTTTTTTTTTCTCTCTAACAAATACCACTTAGTAATCTTTTTCATCCTCAAGTCCACAAGAAGTCCTAGCAGGCTAGCAACCCATTTCCTTCTTCACATACAGAATACCAGTGCCAGAGATTCCTCATATCAATCATCCTCCTCCTCTAGGATTCGATAATGTTCAAGTTTAATGTGGCGAGTTTGGAATTGTTCCAAAAATGCCACCATTTCTCTGGTTCTGTCCACTATCAAATGTTTAATCTGAGAGTAACACCTCAAAATTTCCCCAATGCTCTCTGTTGTCAATCCGTAAAGTCCTATAACATTGAGAGTCTGTAAGTTGGGGCAAATGACGCCTATTTTTTTCAGAAATTCATCATTTGACACACAAAAACCAAAATTCAAAGATCTTATCCGATAATTCCTCTCCAAGACCATGTCTAAATCATCTTCAACCTGTAGCTTTAGAAGGCCCAGTTCAATTTTGGAAAGCACAGGACATTCTTTCATAAGAAGGAAGAAGGTTGTGGCGGTTGAGGTTGAACACGAAAGCTTTATGTACACAAGACTAGAAAGATATTGGCATAAATCCCTTATGGAATCGTCATCGAGAAAATCTATGTCAAAAAGTGTCCAGTGTGTCAAACAAGGTTTTAAAAAGTGGCCGTAACCGCTACGTAACGGTTGTGGTGGTTACCATCGCCCGTTACGGCCACTTTTGCAGTGTGATTGAGATTCATAGATGTGTCGTCTATAGCGGCTGCCGTAGCGGTTGTAACGGTGCCATAACAGTCGTAACGGCCTGTTACGCACCATTACGTAACGGTTTCGAATTGCTTCTTTAAAAAAACACACACAAAAAAATAAGTTGAAAATGGGGGAAGAGAGATAGGATATGAGAGAGAGGGAAGAAAGAGAGAAGAGGGAGGGGCAAGAGATAGAAAGAGAGAGAGAGAAGAGGGAAGATGAAGAACATGTTATTGATTTGTTGAAGCTGAAAGATTTATATTATTCTATTCAGCTGCTATCACTCAACCATTTTGTTTGTGTGTGCCTATCTATATATTGTTTGAATAATAATAAATAATAATAATATATAATATAATAATAATAATAATAATAATAATAAGTGTGGCCATTATCTATCTGCCTTGGTTAAAATAGGCAATATATATATTTATACTCTTATTTATTTTCTTACTTTTGTCATTGTTTATCTATATATAATAGTTAGTAATTGATTTTTATATAATATAAAGTCATTAATTATTAAAAATAACATGTAAAAACTCAGTTTATAGTAATTTAAAAATATGAAATATATTGGATCATACTTAAAAATTTATAAAAATTTATCAATATTTATTTTAAACCCAATAAATATGATTATGGAAAAAATTACGTATTGGTAAGTTTTTTTAATTGTGCGAAAAAATAAAAAATTCACGGTTCCGATTATCGCAACTGTTACGCTACGGTCTTTACACCCCATAACCGCAACTACACCACTGCCACCTTTGTTATGACAACCGCAACTGCTTTCAAAACTTTGACACGATGGACATGCACA